GCTAGCAATATACAAGGTTCTCATCTCATCAACTGGGACAATAAAACTCAATAAAACACAATAAAACACAACTCTTGGAGAAGTTTTACATTTCACATAGTCTGGTCTAAACTTGGAAATAACTGAAATCGTGAACATTCACACTTAACTGAATAACCCTAGTGAATAATCCTAGTGAATAATCCTAGTGAATAACCCTAGTGAATAACCCTGGTGAATAACCCTAGTGAATAACCCTGGTGAATAACTCTAGTGAATAACTCTAGTGAATAATCCTAGTGAATACACCTAGTGAATAACCCTAGTGAATAGTCCTAGTGAATAACCCTAGTGAATAACCCTGGTGAATAACTCTAGTGAATAACTCTAGTGAATAATCCTAGTGAATACACCTAGTGAATAGTCCTAGTGAATAACCCTAGTGAATAACCCTAGTGAATAGTCCTAGTGAATAATCCTAGTGAATAACTCTAGTGAATATCCCTGGTGAATAACTCTAGTGAATAATCCTAGTGAATAACTCTAGTGAATAGTCCTAGTGAATAATCCTAGTGAATAACTCTAGTGAATAACCCTGGTGAATAACTCTAGTGAATAACTCTAGTGAATAACCCTAGTGAATAACTCTGGTGAATAACTCTGGTGAATAACTCTAGTGAATAATCCTACTGAATAACTCTAGTGAATAAACCTGGTGAATAACTCTAGTGAATAACCCTAGTGAATAACTCTAGTGAATAATCCTAATGAATAACCCTAGTGAATAACTCTAGTGAATAACCCTAGTGAATAACCCTAGTGAATAATTCTAGTTAATAACCCTAGTGAATAACCCTAGTGAATAATCCTAGTTAATAACCCTAGTGAATAACCCTAGTGAATAATCCTAGTGAATAACGCTAGTGAATAACCCTAGTGAATAATCCTAGTGAATAATTCTAGTGAATAACCCTAGTGAATAATCCTAGTAAATAATCCTAGTGAATAACCCTAGTGAATAATCCTAGTGAATAACCCTAGTGAATAATCCTAGTGAATAATCCCAGTGAATAACCCTGGTGAATAACCCTAGTGAATAACCCTGGTGAATAATCCTAGTGAATAACCCTAGTGAATAACTCTAGTGAATAACCCTAGTGAATAACCCTGGTGAATAACTCTAGTGATTAACCCTAGTGAATAACTCTAGTGAATAACTCTAGTGAATAACCCTGGTGAATAACTCTAGTGAATAACTCTAGTGATTAACCCTAGTGAATAACTCTAGTGAATAACCCTAGTGAATAACTCTGGTGAATAACTCTAGTGAATAATCCTGGTGAATAACTCTAGTGAATAAACCTGGTGAATAACTCTTGTGAATAACCCTAGTGAATAACCCTAGTGAATAACTCTTGTGAATAATCCTAGTGAATAACCCTAGTGAATAACCCTAGTGAATATCGCTAGTGAATAATTCTAGTTAATAACCCTAGTGAATAATCCTAGTGAATAACGCTAGTGAATAACCCTAGTGAATAATCCTAGTGAATAATTCTTGTGAATAACCCTAGTGAATAACCCTAGTGAATAATCCTAGTGAACAACCCTAGTGAACAACTCTAGTGAATAACCCTAGTGAATAACTCTAGTGAATAACCCTAGTGAATAACTCTAGTGAGTAACCCTAGTGAATAACTCTAGTGAGTAACCCTAGTGAATATCTCTAGTGAATAACCGTAGTGAATAATCCTAGTAAAAAAAAAAAAAATGAAAATAATTATGTGTTAAAATAAAAGATGTAAAATCTATAATAGTTTGGGCTTGGGTCGAAGGTAGGAGAGGAAGTGTTGCAGAGCTTGTAATCCGTTTAGATGGTCAATATTTGAATATAAAGCAGTGGCATCAATGGTAACCAAGATATAGGTGTCCTTCCAGTTTATATCCTGTATGAGCGATAAAACATGACTTGTATCTCGTATATAGGATGGTAGGTTGGGAACATAACGTTGGAGATGGAAATTGACGCATTTAGAAAGGGATCCAACAGAAGAAATAATTGGACGACCAGGGGGGGTTGAATATTTTTATGTATTTTGGGCAAATAATAAAATATGGAGACACCCCCAGCTGAAGACGGGAGGTATTCTTTTTTATCAATTGTTTCTTTATTGAATGCCTCTTGTGACGGAACGCTGGCACTCCGACTGAGTACCTCCGCCAATCGATGCTCCTAGTGCTCGCTGAGGACTCCAAGCACTCCAACCGACACCATCATCACTGCAGACCCCACTTCCAGCGATGCAACTGCGCCGGGGTCTCTGCCGTCTCCACCCACCCTGGACCCAAGGCCAGGATCCAGCTTCCAGTGGGTGAACCTCTCTTTCCCCAGAGAGCAGGAACAGGAACAAGCTCTTAGCAGAACTTAGTGATCATACCCTGGGGAGTATAGTGATTATAGCAATCCCCAGAGTGTATTTCTCCAATCCCCCAAACATGAGCCAAGGCTTAATGCTGGAACAAGACTGATTTACTGGCACACAGAACTCACAATTTATGCAACACAAAACTCCTCCTCTGGGCCAGGCTAGATAATTGAGTTTCTACAATACACAAAGCTCAATTATCTGCTGGCCAGAAATGATACAGTTTTTACAGCATTCATAACTTCTAAAATATACATCACATTCACATAACAATTATATATTCCCAATCAATCCATTCAGGGAAACAACAAATCAAAAAAATGGCATGAATAAGACCAGGGGTTCAGAAGTTAGTAAAGTATCTTTTGGGGCCTGGCTGGCAGCATGGCTATCTGGCCCAAACTGGTTTTACAGAGCCCTCTAGCCTTGAGACAATGGGGAAAGTAATCCAATTATCCAGGGATAGAGGCAGACTCCATTGAGACTCCATCCATGTTCCCAGTAAAACACAAAAGGATACAAAAATACATAACTCCTATCATACTGAATTGAACGGGCCAAATCTCCCAGGGTCCATAGTCACAGGGCAAGAGGCGGGCAAGCATTCCTCTCCAGGCACAAGTGGCGAAGGGCACTTCGTCACACCTCTATTCTATCAGCCTTTAAGAAAGTAAGAAGTACAGATAGAGCCTGACTAATACCTACTTCTTCTACGATACCCATGAAAGGTTGTCACTCAGTCCTATCCCCTATAGAGGAGTCCAACAAACATCTAGAGATAATGCAGCTATTGGTAAAAGTTCATCCCTGTGCAAAGCTGACTCACTACAAACACACTATCAGTACGACTGATATATCCCAAAACAAGGGGCCTTTTTTCTCTACTGTGTTCAACTGTGACTTTGATGAAATTATAGATATCTTATATAGACACTGGCCGATCTTAAAGTTAGATCCCTTACTCAAATTCAGCATCCTGGACAAACCTTGGGTTATCTTTAGAAAAAGTAAGAATCTGAAGAATATTCTGGCCCCCTCAAAATTCAACACTGAAAATAAAACCTGTCCTAACAATCTAAGTGCCTCTGGGAATTTTCGATGTGGGAGCCTGAAATGCCTTTGTGGTATACCGTCTCACTTGTAAATGTGGCCTGCAGTACGTGGGCCAAACCACTAGGCCACTGAAAGTCAGATTTAGGGAGCATTGGAAAGCGATTTTACATAAAGATAGAAAGTCCTCAGTAGCACGTCATTTTGTATCTGTGCACAACAGTAATCCCTTAGGTGTCTCTGTTATGGGCACTGAAACTATACCTAAAATTGGGGATACTGCTAAGCGTAGAAGAGCTTTCATAGATGATGAATCCAAATGGATTTACAAATTAAATACTCTTACCCCACATGGCCTTAATGAGAAACGTGACCAACTACGTCTTTAACAATATAATTACCCTATGCTATCTCTGGTCTAATAGACTTATGTTTCACTATCAGGGCCGCCATCAGGGCATGACAACCACAACGGTTGTCATGGGCCCGGCGGTCCTGGGGGGCCCGGACTGCTCAGGTCGTCCGGGCCCCACATTCAGTGGGTACATACCGGGTCGCAGGGGGCCCTGCGACCCCGGTATGTACCCACTGGGCCAGCCTCTTCCCTGGGGGGCCCAGCAGCCGGTCACCTCAGGGCCCCCCAGAGGCTGGCCCTGCAGTCACCCGGCGGGCGGGCCGGCGGGCGGGCCGGCGCGCGAAGGAGCACTCTCTGTGTGCTTCCTCTTCAGCTCCCTCACGCGCCGCGTACTGATGCCGGAGCCGGAAGATGATGGCGCCCACCGGGTGTCAGGGAGAGTGAGGGAAGAAAATTGAGTGGGGGGAGGAAATTTGAGTGGGGAGGAGATTTGAGTGGGGGGAGGAAATTTGAGTGGGGGAGAGAGAGGAGGGAAGAAATTGAGGAGTGGGGGGGAGAGGGAGGAGGAACGGAGTGGGGGGGGAGAGGGGAGGAAGAAATTGAGGGGGGGGAGGAAATTTGAGTGGGGAGAGAGGGAGGGAAGAAATTTGGAGTGGGGGGAGGAGGAGGGAAGAAATTTGAGGAGTGGGGGGAGAGGGAGGGAGGAAAATTTGAGTGGGGGGAGGAGGGAGGAAATTTGAGGAGTGGGAGGGAGAGAGGGAGGGAGGAAATTTGAGGAGTGGGGGGAGAGGAGGGAAGAAAATTTGAGGGGGGAGAGGGAGGAGGAAATTTGAGAGTGGGGGGAGAGGGAGGGAGGACATTTGTGGGGGGGAGAGGGAGGAGGAACTTTGAGTGAGCTAGGGGAGAGGAGGAGGACATTTGGAGGGGGGGGGAAGAGGAAATTTGAGGGGAGGAGTGAGGGAGGGGAGGGAGAGGAAGGAAATTTGAGGGAGGGGGAGAGGAAGGAAATTGGAGGGAGGGGGAGGAAGGAAATTGGAGGGGGGAGAAGGAAGGAAATGAGAGGGAGAGGGAGAAGAAGGAAATGAGAGGGAGGGGGAGAAGAAGGAAATGAGAGGGAGGGGGGGAGAAGGCAATGAGAGGGAGGGGGAGAAGAAGGAAATTGGAGAGAGGGGGAGAAGAAGGAAATTGGAGGGGAGGAGAAGGAAATTGACAGGGGTAGAGGGAGAGATTGACATCCATCACACACACAATGCACCCCTTGCACACAAAAAAACACACAATGCATTACACACATACACAAGCAATGCATCCCTTACACACAGCAACACACAATGCACCCCTTACACACACTCAGTGCATCCCTTACAGACGCACACACTGCATCCCATACATACACAAACTCACCTTACAGCCCTTACACATACAAACACAGATTCACACAATGCATTCCTTACACACATCAGGACATCCCACACACACACACACCTGTAGACAACTCATTGTGGTGAAACATAAGGTGGACCCTGGACCCAGACAGAGCTGTGTAAGGGCCACTCAAAAAATATGGAGCTGCTTCCCGTTCTCCCAGAACATTGATTTTTGTGACCACAGTTACAAACCGCCTCCAGAGAGCCTGTTCTACACCAGACCAGTGGAGCCAGACGGCAGCTAGAGCCCATCATCATCCTCATCTGGTTGTAAGTAGGCAATCTAGTATATTATTCGTGGCACTAATCTCTAATTTACCTCACATTAATGTAGTGGTTCTAGTGTCTATAGCCTGTCCCTGCAGGCCTTTTATTGTAAACACGGCAGCACTGTGTTAGTTAACATGGCAGATCATATGGGTGGGGCATTGTGATGTCACATGGGGGGCGGCAAACTTTACTTTTGCCTAGGGCGGCAAAAAACCTTGCACCGGCCCTGCAGACACTGCATCCCTGTGGGTGGACTCAGGAGGGGGGGGGACGGACGGACTCGGGTGCAGGCACCGGGGGGCCCAGACCTTGAGCTTTGTCAGGGGCCCCAAAATTTCTGATGGCAGCCCTGTGAACTTGTGTGTGTGTGTGTGTGCCTGCTATTGAGTGAGCTTGTTTGTGCGCCTGCTAGTGAGTGAGATTGTTTGTGTACCTGATAGTGAGTGAGCTTTTGTGTATGTGCATGTGTGTGTGTGTGTGCCTGCTCATGAGTGAGCTTGTGTGTGTGTGTGTGCCTGATCGTGAGCTTGTGTGTGTGTGTGTGCCTGCTAGTGAGTGAGCCTGTGTGTGTGCCTGCTAGTGAGTGAGCTTGTGGGTGTGTGTCTGCTAGTAAGTGAGCTTGTGTGTGTGCCTGCTAGTGAGTGACCTTGTGTGTGTGTATGCCTGCTAGTGAGTGACCTTGTGTGCCTCCTAGTGAGTGAGCTATGCCCCCACGCACATTGCTGACCTCACTGGCAGGAAAATGGCAACTTCATCTGACAATGCCAGGTAAGCTTCAGCCATGAAAATGTGTGTGCCTGGTTGTGAGTGATATTGTGTTTGTGCCTGCTAGTGAATGAGCGTGTGTGTGTGTGTGTGCCTGGTAGTGAGTGAGCTTGTGTGTGTTAGTGAGTAAGCTTGTGTGTGTGTGTGCCTGCTAGTGAGTGAGCTTGTCTATATGTGTGTGTGTTAGTGAGTGAGCTGGTGTGTGTGTGCCTGCTAGTGAGTGAGCTTGTGTGTGTGTGTGCCTGCTAGTGAGTGTCCTTGTGTGTGTGCCTGCTAGTGAGTGAGCTTGTGTGTGTGTGCCTGCTAATAAGTGAGCTTGTGTGTGTGTGTGCCTGCTAGTGAGTGAGCTTATGTGCCTCCTAGTGAGTGAGCTCTGCCCCCACGCACATTGCTGACCTCACTTGCAGGAAAATGGCAACTTCATCTGACAGTGCTAGGTAAGCTTCAGCCATGACAATGATTGTGTGTGTGCCTGCTAGTGAGTGAGCTTGTGTGTGTTCCTGCTCGTGAGTGAGCTTGTGTGTGTGCACCTGCTCGTGAGTGAGCTTATGTGTGTATGCCTGCTAGTGAGTGATATTGTGTGTGTGCCTGCTAGTGAGTGAGCTTGTGTGTGTGCCTGCTAGTGAGTGAGCTTGTGTATGTGTGTGCGTGTGTGCCTGCTAGTGAGTGAGCTTGTGTGTGTGTGTGCCTGCTCATGAGTGAGCTTGTGTGTGTGTTAGTGAGTGAGCTTGTGTGTGTGCACCTGCTCATGAGTGAGCTTGTGTGTGTGTGATTGCTAGTGAGTGAGCTTGTGTGTAAGTGTGTGTCTCTGCTAGTGAGTGAGCTTGTGTGTAAGTGTGTGTGCCTGCTAGTGAGTGAGCTTGTGTGTGTGTGTGTGTTTGCGCCTGCTAGTGAGTGAGCATATATGTGTATGTGTGTGCCTGCTCTTTAGTGAGCTTGTGTGTGTGCCTGCTAGTGAGTGAGCTTGTATGTGTGTGCCTGCTCATGAGTGAGTTTGAGTGTGTGTGTGCCTGCTAGTGAGTGAGCTTGTGTGTGTGTCTGTGTGTGCCTGCTAGTGAGTGAGCTTGTGTGTGTGGCTCCTAGTGAGTGAGCTTGCATGTGTGTGTCATTGAGCCTGTCTGTACTGAGCATATGTGTGTCAGTGAGCTTGTCTGTAGAGAGCATGTGTTTGTGTGTCAGTGAACTTGTCTGTTGGAAGCATGTGTGTGTGTCAGTGAGCTGTTTTGTGGGGAGCATACATGTGTCAGTGAGCTTGTCTGTACTGAGCATCTGTGTGTCAGTGAGCTTGTCTGTAGTGAGCATGTGTGTGTGTCAATGAGCTTGTCTGTTGGAAGCATGTGTGTGTCAGTGAGCTTTTTTGTGGGGAGCATGCGTGTGTCTGTGAGCTTGTCTGTGGTGAGCATGTGTGTTTGTCAGTGAGCTTGTCTGTAGTGAGTATGTGTGTGTGTGTCAGTGAGCTTGTCTGTTGGAAGCATGTGTGTGTCAGTGAGCTTTTCTGTAGTGAACATGCGTGTGTCACTGAGCTTGTCTGTGGTGAGCACGTGTGTGTGTCAGTGAGCTTGTCTGTAGTGAGCATGTGTGTGTCAGTGAGCTTGTTTGTGGTGAGCATGTGTGTGTCAGTGAGCTTGTCTTTAGTGATTTTGTGTGTGTCAGTGAGCTTGTCTGTATTGAGCATGTATGTGTGTGTCAGTGAGCTTGTATGTATTGAGCATGCATATATATATATATATATATATATATATATATATATATATATATATATATATAAACCAATAATATTTAAGGCTGTGTCTTGCCACCCCAGATGATTGAGTAATATATATACACATAATTATATATATGGAAGGCAGGGCCTGTAGTTGTTGGAGGGGCTTGATTTCCCTGCTTAAGGATCACCAGACCTCTCCTCATTACCGTTATTGGCCTGGTGATTTGCATACCTGGACTTCCGGCCGTAGCTGATTGCCATTTTGCTTACCTGTCCTCGTGGATACCTTACCTGCTCTTGAAGTATCTGCCCGTTTCTGGTTCGAGTCTTTTCAGCCGTCCAAGGCCCCTGGGATACTTCCTTTCTCCTCTGGTTTCTGCCGCTATCAACCTGACGCTGCTGTAACAGTGAGTTGGTTGAACTTTGCGACCCAGTGATAGGTGCACAGCATCATCATGGGCCAACCCTATTCTTATACTTACCTCTATTTCGTATACCTTTCGTGAGGTCTTTCGTTAACTTCCATATGAACGTACGGTTCAGTAGTTTTATTAATCCACTGCTTGTTGGTCCGTATGAAATTGGCTTTCGTGAGTTTGCGCTCACCCGTTCGGGCCTTTATTCGTGCGTACACACGTTGCTTACGATTCGTACATCATATCTGTTTAAGTGATCGGTTAAACATGGAGCGTTCGGTTGTCATGCGGCTTTTTGCTCCTCTTTCGGGGCCGTTCATATGATTACAACCAAATGCCCTATTATGGTGATAGGTATTCCCTGTGTCTATGCGTGCAGTCGCATAATTATATGTACATGTTTAAATGGGCTGTTGTCCTCTAGAGACTATAGGGGGGTACTGCACGTTTTATCACATTTCTGATCAAACTACTGTTTGGTTTAAAGCAGCGCGTTGTTGCTGCTTTTATTCTACCTATTTGATATGTAGCAATAAATATTTTAATGGGTTGCCAAGATGAACCTTTCTTGTGACTGTCTCTCTGAGAGTTTTTCAAGTCTCATATATTCTGGTTGACTCAGTTTCAATTGTCTCACTCACCTTAGGTGGGTCATTTTTACTTCTGACAATTAGTAGTTAGTTAAGCTTTCTTGGAGGTTCTGATGTTGGTTGTATTATATTACAGATTAAAGTCGCTATTTTGTAACCTGCATGCTCTCTATTTTGATTTCTGCAAATTCACTTTGGTTAGTGGTTTCACTGCCTAGATAACCTAATATGTTCTTTCTATGTTATTAGGTACCAGCCCTTACTGGCTCTACTACCACTTACACTTTGCTGGTTCAATTTAGGCCTATTCTTTTGGCTCCCATACTATTCCCATACTATTTTGTTTTCTGCTAATTAACAGTCTCGAACCTGTACTACAACATTGCTATTATTCTTTCAGGTATTGCTCGTGCTCCATCTACTATGTCCGATTCTATACCCATCTGACACATAAGGTATGTGAATCCAGTTGTCATCACACCTCTCCCCCTCCCCATCCAGCAATCGGTACTAAGGTGAGAATTTGTCTACTGGCTGATAGGTTTCAGAGTCCGCTTATTTAGATTTTCTGGCCTTTTTGTCTTTATTTAGTAATCCCGCGAGGCCAACACCCATCCTTATACTCGGAGGTACTCACACCAAATGGCCACCTCATAGTTAGTCGCCTCACATGGTGGTATATAGAGGGCGTCCCCCGTCAATCTCATGCTATCTTTTGCTTTACTAGTCACGAGAGGCCGACACCCGCCAAATTTTCGGTGGCCACAAAATCATCTCGGGCCAACTCATACATAGAGCCTCTAATGCCGCTTGGCAATTAGTAGGGCTCCCCTCTCTATTTGTTAAATAATTTTTTTGCACTTGGCATTAGGTAACTAGCCAATACGATATTATGACCTTAGTTTCTAAAAAAAAATTCTAGCATGTCTGAACTGCCTGAAGCTATGGAGGATTTGTAAATTCCCAGAACTCCTGCAAGGTCCATCTTAGGGAGGGGACATCACCAGCCCGTCTTCCCTTAGGTCTTGGACCATACCCAGGATCACGGCCGAATTAAGACGTAGAAACATTCCTTACCCGGCCACTGCCAGGAAGACTGAACTGTATAGATTGCTTAACACCAACACAGATAACACCGGGGCTGGCGAAGGCCCTAGTGGTGCCCAGTCATCCGATCTCCAGGCCATCCTATCCTCGGTATTGTCCTCATTGGGCGGATTACCGATAGGCTGGACTGTATGGATGCTGGTAATAAGCCAGTGGCACCATCTGGATTAGTTGCTCCAAAAC